AGACATGAAATCTTTTTAAGCAAAAAAGCACTGTGACATTAGCTTTTAATAAACGTTTTATTTGAGAGTAATTCTGAATTTACAGAAAAGTTGCAAATATAGAATTCCCATACACCCTTCACACAGTTTCCTCTAAAATTAACCTTATATTACCACGTGCAATTATCAAAACAAAGAAACCAACATTGGTGCACTGCTATTAAGTGGACTCCAAACTACTCAGATTTTACCAGTTTTTTCCACTAATATTTTTTTTGTCTATTCTAGGATCCAATCTAAGATAACATATTGCATTTAGAATCTTACATTTTAATACAACCTTTTACTTACATTTAAAAGTATCACACTAGCTACTGTATGGGAATAGAACTGTAGAGAGCCAAGGATTAAAGAATGCAGGGAGAACTGATAGAACATTATTACTGCAACCCAAAGAAGAAATGATAGTGGCTAATAACAGACATCAAGCAAGAGACAATCTGAATACTAACAGTAGAAATAGTAGGAAACAGTCAAATTCTAGATATATGTTATAGAAAGAATCAATAGGATTTGCTGATGGATTGGATGGAATATAAGAGAATGACTGGAGAATGACTCCAAATATTTAACTTTTAGCAACAGGTTGTACAGAGTTGCCATCAGCTGAAATGAGAAAGAATGGGGCAGGGTTAAAGATAAAGAGTTCAGTTTCTGACATTTAAGTGTGAATATCTTTAAGTAAACAAGTGGATATGTAGAGGTAGAAAGCTGGATATGTGAGTCTGGAGTTCAGAAAGAGAGGGGACAAGGAATATGAATTTGGTAGTCTTCAGTATACAGATGGTGTTCAAAGTCATTAAGACTTGAGGTCATTAGAGGGAGTGTAGACAGAGGAAAAGAGAACCAAAGACTGCACCCTGGAGCACTTCAATAATAAAAGATCAGGACTAACAGAAGGAAGACTGAGAAGGAACAACCAATAAGTAAAAGAAAAACCAAGAGTGTGGAGTCCAGCAAATCAAATGAAGAAAATATATCATCAAAAAAAGAATGATCAATTGTGTCAAAAGTTGCTTACAGTTCAAATGAAAATGATCAACACCTAGAGATCACTGGTAACGCTAACAAAAGCATTTTGCAGGTGCGTGGGAGCAATAGCCATTTTGAAATGATCTCAAGTGAGGGCAGAGTTTGCCACCTCAAAATATGCTTATTGGGATATTGATTATTTTACGCTGGTTAAATAATGAGGAAAAATCTTTAACCTCCCCCCAAGCAGCTTAAAAGAATTTAAACAAAGGTCCTGCTCCAGGAAGAGAGCTATCATCATAGACAATTACAGTTTAATAAGAACTAGTATGTCAGTGGTTCTCAACCTTCTGGCCCTTTAAATACAGTTCCTCATGTTGTGATCCAACCATATAATTATTTTCGTTGCTACTTCATAACTGTAATGTTGCTACTGTTATGTATCGTAATGTAAATATCTGATATACAGGATGGTCTCAGGCGACCTGTGAAAGGGTCGTTCGACCGCCAAAGGGGTCGCGACCCACAGGTTGAGAACTGCTGTAGTATGTAATGAGGAGGAACCTACCAAGGCTCATTTGACCAAAGTCCCCTCTGAACTGTTAAAGATGGCCCAGGAAACATTTATTTACGAAACAGTTGCTTTTCTATTTCTATGTTTGCCCCCCTCCCATACGTAGTCCCAAACCACCATCCCTTACCCTTCTCCTGGGCTCAAAATGGCATGTAAGCCCTAAGTACCCAATTTGTCCTCTTGTCACATATTCTTATGAAACTCCCATATGTACATATGTAATAAACCTGGTTATTTTCTCCTATTAATGTATCTTCTATTTACTTATTAGTCCAGCCAGAACTTTATAAGTGTAGGAGGGAACATTATTTTTTCTTCCCCTATACAAGAAAGAATAGAAAAAAATTGGGATTTAGAGTATAGAGAACTTAAAGGATTTTTCAGAAGAGCAAATCAATAGGGTTTGAAGTGGAGAAAGGTTAAGAGAAGCATTTCTTAAGGTAAAAAAAAAAATAACATGCAGGTCAAACAAAACTTTTATGGGTCTTAATCTACGAGCCATGGGAAAAGAGAATGAAAAAAAAATTGGGGGAAAGGACAGACAAACACTACAACATGAAGAACCTCAACTTCAAACTATGGCGGCTACTTGAGAATCAGAGAAAACAAGCAGTTAAGTAAAACCATTTCATATATGTGATTATCAGTGAGTGAAAGAAAATGAGAAGTCATATAAAAGTAAACCTTCAATACTCAATACTAGATACAAAGTAAAAAGAGAAAAGGGGAGAAAGTGGACTGGTGGCATAAAAGCAATAACAATTTATTTCAAAAACCTTTTATTGAGTGCCTCACATGCAAGTCAATCAACTCTACATCATTATCCCTCCCTTTAAGGAATTTTTAATTTGGTGAAAGAGAAAGCCAGGCACACAATAGGCAATGCTTACTGTGTGCTTATGAATGCCAGATTCTTGATGAGATGATTTACTTGTATGAACTCAGTTAAGTCTCATAACATTGGAGACTATGAACTCTCTCCACAGAAAAATATAAATATGCACTATTTTTACATAAAATTCTAGGAAACCCATGAAACCAAAATTGAAAATACTCCTCTAGATGCAGGAGTGGCAACAGTTTTTGAACAAAGGAATGACACAGATTTTATTTTTAGTAAATAAAGGATCTACGATGATTTAGTAAGAAATGAGAATTCATAGCAGAGCTGCCAGGAAAGAGACTTTTGAAATAGTTAGCAATGTAAGATAGTACTTAAAATAGTTCATTGGCAGTAAAAACCAAAAGTAGGGGGTTTATGTGCTTAATGACCATGTAGCTCAACTACTAATTTCTCAACTCTCACCACAGGACAGATTAATTTTGTTAGCTGTTACATTTTTTTAAAAATTATACACACATGTTTAGCTTCATCTATTGCCATTTGTGTTACTTAATGTAAAACTTTAACTGGCAAATGTTGTTCTTTATTCTTTTGAAGCTGAAGTATGTTAAGTGCCCATGGCCTAAAATTAATTGTAATTCATAAATACAGTAACTCAATTGTGATCGTGAACAACTGCAGCTTCCTAGTGCTCTTCACAGGTAGCTTGAAGCACAGCTTCACACAGAAGTATTCCCCTTAAATCAGTGGTTCTCAACCTTCCTAATGCTGCGACCCTTTAATACAGTTCCTCATGTTGTGGTGACCCCCAATTTCATTGTTACAAATTGAACATAATTAAAGCATAGTGATTAATCACAAAAATATGTAATTATATATGTATTTTCCGATAGTCTTAGGCGACCCCTGTGAAAGGGTCGTTTGACCCCCAAAGGGGTCGCGACCCACAGGTTGAGAACCGCTGCCTTAAATGTTCATATAGATTGAGACGATCTTCACATGAGAGCAGAAACAGTTATAAAATCTCGACACATTTACTACTTCAGAAGCCAAGCTTGATGAGGTGTACAACATAACTTCTATAACTAAGCCAAGTTTGTTTAACTTGAATGGCAAGACTTGCAAGGTATAAATGGCTTGGTTTCTTATAGGAAGAGGTTACTGTACACTTTTTATACATTTCCTACTCCCCTCTTTCCCATGATCATTAAATTTCTCCAAGAAACAGGTCATCTTTATTCCTCTGCTGCACTCTCATTTTCCCAGTAATAAAGCTCAATAAAAACTTGATAAAATTGTGTATTTGACCATTCTTGACAATTCAGTAGATTCAAAAGTAAATCATATTTTTTAAAAAACTGAATGTGGTAGCCAACAATGTAATCATATAACAGAAATCTAATGTTTTAATCACCATGCTGCCCTAAATAAAGAACGATCTCATAGTTAGGCTAAATACAGCTAAGGATCTTATAGTTTGGCCAAAAACTAATAAATCAAGTCCTTATTAGTTTCTTTCCCATTTTTCCTCTATCCACTTTCTGAGTTAATAAAGAATTTAAAAAATAACATTCTGAAAAGAACTCTCTGCTGTTTGAGAAAAAAAACAAAAACTATACAGCTGGAGCCAAAGGGTTGTCATAATTTTCTGATTCATTTAAGGGGGTAGAGGAATAAAGTCAATAATTCCAAAAACTATGCAAACCGAATACATCAACGCGCCTGTTTATCTAGGGTAGGCGAATGAAAAAAATGGGGGGAAATATAGCCTCAGCCACTGGGATTATTAAAATCAGAGGAAGCTAAATTATACTACTAATTAAAAGAAAAAGTTAGCATATGATTTGTCTTGCCGTTGGATCACTTCTCTCGAGTAATCGGCTCTGAACTCGGGAAAGGGCACTTGCTCCCCATTCATTACCACAGAAAGTTGCCTGTGATCCCTAAGGGCCAAACGTTTCAGCCCCAGATGCAACCTACTGACAGTTTACGAAAAGCTGGGGATTGGGAGAGAAGGGGCCAGTGCCAGAGAAATGACCCAACAACCTACTCCACACAACCCTGCAGATTCAAGGGTCCTCCTCATCCAAAACCATTACAGAGCATTTCAAAGACGCTTTGTAATCCAAAGAACCCCCAGGTGCAAAGGGAGCAACTGAACAAACGGAGGGCCCAGCAGCTTACACATTAAAGGGGATCCTAGTCGGGAAACATCCACGCACTGCGGAGTTCAAGGCGGAAAAGAACAGGGAACTAAAAACAATTAAAATTTAAAATATTAAAAGGGGGGGAGGGGGATGAGCAAGCAAAAAAAAAAAAAAGGACAAGACTACCATTACTGTTACTTAAAGAGGCAATCCCTGGCTTCCGAAACCTACCTCTCAGTAACTCGACTTCCGGTCTCCTCCAAAAGGCCCGCTCCCACAGGCTGACGTCTCGCAGCCAATGAGAGTGTCATCTACTTCCGCAGGGGCGCGTGACGTCACTAACTCCCGCCTTCTTCCGGTGAAGGGGAGCCTATCCTACTGTCTCCGTCGCGCGGCCCAGGAGGCGGTGCCCTGAGAGGCCCAACCGGAAGGCCGGAAGGAGCGAGACCGGCAGGCAGCGGGCCCGCCTTTTCCGCCCTGGGCCCGGAAGGGTGATGTGGCTGAGGCTTCGCCGGCCTCACTATGGTAAGAACTGGGGCTGTGGGGTCGCGGTTGAGCTTTCTGAAGGGGCTGTGGCCCCGAATCGGGGCTGGAGGGTTGGGAGGCGGACCCCGGATCGCGGGCCACGGATCCTTGTCACTAACTTAATTCTCTCGGGATTCAGGGGCTGCACAGGCCCGGGAGACATGTGGCCCCTGCACGCCCAACCCGGGAGAACCGGGGCCGACCCCCCAAGTATGATCCCGGGTCTGGAGCCCGTCCCGTTCTCAGAGGCCACTTTCTTGATCTCTTTCGGAGAAATGTGCTGGTTTGGCTCTTGGTGGTCCTTGACCCTTGGAGACATTATGGCTTCTGGAGTTTGATCTGTTACTTTGCTCTTCTCTCCCTATGCTCCTGATCCAGATCTTTTATGTTTAATTGTTGTCCAACTTTACACCTGACTTTTTAATCTGTAGAATTAGTGGCCTTTAAGTCCCTCCTACTTGATTCTCTAACCAGTGCTTCTCAATCTTCCTAATGCCGCGACCCTTTAATACAGTTCCTCATGTTGTGGGGACCCCGCCAACCATAAAATTACTTTCGTTGCTATGTCAGAACTGTAATTTTGCTACTGTTATGAATCGTAATGTAAATATCTGATATGCAGGATGTATTTTCATTGTTCGCGACCCACAGGTTGAGAACCGCTGCTAGGATGCTACTTTACACACTGTAGGTTTTCATGATTGGAGGTTTCTGCAAAGATGGGTTTTCTTCTGGCCTCAGGCCTTCCTCTCTTTCCATCATGTTATTACGGTTGTATGTGTTATTTTATGTTACTGCAGATTCATCTGCTAGTGGGGGCCTCTTAGAAAAGTTTGAAATTAAGTCACAAAAGTTTGCAAAGGAAATGCTTCCATCTTCAGCCTGAAAAAAAGGAGGTAAAGCCAGCGTGGACAGAGGACAGATGCAGTGTCAGTAGTAATAGATCAGGCACCCAAGCTCTGTCTGAGGCATTTTACCTGTGTTATGATAAAATGCCAAAAGCCTCTGCTTCATGCCCTCATGATGACTTTATGAAGTCCACGTGCCAAATGTTGCAGTTATGAGCACATTTGAGGGGAAAGGATGCCTGCCTTTTATTATAGAATCAAAAGCAACCACAGTGCCCAAAGTGCTATTCTGCAATAGTTGCTAAGCTTGTATTCCCAGAAGTTCCCACAGCAGAAAACCTTTAGGCATTTATAGAGGAGATAGCAGTTTGTCCCAAGTTATTACTCCCTTGGACAAGGATACTGTCCAGCTTCTTTCTCCACCTACCAAATGTAAGGTGGATACACTTGCTCTGATTAGTGAGCTGTCATTTAACTTACATTTGGTTCCTTCAATTTAAAGAGTAGAGAGATTGTTACTCTTAATTCTTGTATCTCTTCCAAGAAGTTGATAAGCATTGTCTTATTTCAAGCTTAAAAGCATTGTCTTCTTTCAAGCCCACAACAATTCTGAGTAGATGAAGGAAGTCAGGGACAGGGAGATCGATGTGCTTGGGGTTGCACAACCTAGTAGAACTCAAATTTATTTTAATGTCCAGATGCCAGAAATCTTCATTTGTTAATAGAAACAACCTAATAGGGGATGAAATGTCTCAGTGATTTGTCACTCATATGTAATATGCCAGTCAGACACAGGTGGCTAATAGGAACAACTGCCGGGTGGTTAATTTTTCATTTCTGCTTTGTTCCTATGAGCTTCAGGTGTCAGCATTGAGTTTGTACCTAAACTTGGTGTATTTATGAAGTTACCCAGTGATAATGACTTAAATCCGAGTTACCTTATTTTAATGAATTCTTTTTTAAATGCTTTTCAAGGCCATAAAATGTTTGTCAACAGTAATAATTTACAACTATCAGAGCATAAACAGTATGATAAGTAGACCACTTAAGAATTAATATTTTTTAGAAATTTAGAATACTTTGTTCTCCCTAAATTTTTATATCTTTGAAGATTCACTTCAAGTTTCATCTGTTCCTAAAAAGCCTTCCCTGTCCTATTTTTGTCTGCTCCTTTTAGGTATCCATTTGGGCATCCAGAGTCCTCGTATATATTTCCAGTATCCCACTAGCATAGCACTTATTGCAAGAAAAACAGCAAAAAAGGTGTTGCCTACATTTCTCCCCTCTTTAGGTAGAGTTCTCGAAGTGAAGACTAGATCTTTCGATCTTGACATCACAGTGTCAATTAAAGTTCGTACGCCAAATGAATGAGAGTTTGGAATAAAGTCATGTGAGACATGCTCAGGGTATTCAAGGACTTCCCAATCCAGTGGAAAACTATTAAATAAGTAAATTCCATGTGGTATCTGCTAATATTTAGAAAGACAATCTGTGTAGTGGAAAGACTGAGCCAGATGGTCAAAATCATTAGCAATTCCCATCCTTTTCTTGGTTAAACTAAGGAAGTTGATCTTCATTTCGTTTATTTGTTGATGTATTAGGTGACTTACAGATATTCTCATTTAATGCTCACAAACTCTGCAGAGTGGGAGCTTTTGCCCACATTTTATATTTAAACTGAGTATAAGCGAAGGGGTGCGAAATGTCCTCCCTCATCTTATAGCAGAGAGAATATTAGCACAAAAGTTCTAATGAAACACAAAAATGAGTAATTCTGGCTGGGAACTGCTGCAGAGAGATAGTGCTCTGACCTGTATGTTCAAGAGTGATTAGGGATTACCTAAGGCAGTGGTTCTCAACCTGTGGGTCGAGACCCCTTTGGGGGTTGAACAACCCTTTCACAAGGGCCGCCTAAGACCATCGGAAAACACATATATAATTACATATTGTTTTTGTGATTAATCACTATGCTTTCATTATGTTCAATTTGTAACAATGAAATTGGGGGTCACCACAACATGAGGAACTGTATTAAAGGGTCGCGACATTAGGAAGGTTGAGAACCCCTGACTAAGGAATCATTAGCTAGAGCTGGACAGTGTTCTCTATCCTTTAGATAACAGATAAAGGAAGTGGCAGTTACGGAGCCAAAGGGCATCAAGTTGGATAGTTGCTTGGGAACTGGCAGCAATAGCAGTTAAGTACTGAAATGATGAAAAATGAGACTGGAAAGATTGGGGCCAGATCTTGAAGGGGTTTTTGCCATACTAAGGACTTTATATTTTGATGATGTTTGTTTACCTGGTAAAAGACTTGGAGCAAGGAAGAGAATGGTGTGCATTTTAGAAAACCAACTGGTAATAATACAGAGGGTATATTAAAATAGAAGATTAAAATTTGGGAGACCAAGTTAGAAATAAAAGCAGTGATCCAGGTAGTATATGATTGAATGCCTGAACTCTTGACAATAGTAGTTAGGTTAAAGGAAAGGATAAATAAGAAAATAATTTTGAAGGTGTTGCCAGTGAAGAACAGAGTTGGGTGCTCCTAATCTGGACTGTAGTTTTATGCATAGCAATGAAAGTTATTAATTTAAATGGAAAGTGTAAGTAAAGAAAGTCTCTTCATACTTTTGAAACAGGTCCAGAGAGATCAAATGGCTACTTAGTCCAGCTTCCTCACTTTGCAAAGGGAATTAAACTGATGCTTAGAGATGATGATTTACCCAAGGATAAATTTATACACTTGGATTATTTCATTAAATAATCCTAATGTTTACTAGCCACCGGTACTCAGAGAAGCTGGTGTGTTCTTAGCATTGAAGCATTAAGCAGTCCTGGTTTCTGAGTTTCAAATTAAACTAAGATAGCTTCACCTTAACGTTCTAATAATGCTAAAAGAAAATGTTAAATATTTCTTTGTATTAGTGAAAATCTTTTCAGTCACCTGTAGTCAATTATTTGGGGTAAATGGAGTATTTGTGTATGTGTTTGCATATTCACATACAGGCTTACATTTTTCCCTGTATTTCCATGTTTTCCATTTTCAGAAATAATAGTGGTACATATGAATTTACAAGTACAAACTAGTTGGAAAATGCTGACCTGACCTAGATTTATAAATGATAAAGTGCTGACCCACTTTTCCAGTGCTGTATAATTTTGTAACACAATTAGGTCAGGAATGTCATCTCTGGGTTTCTTTCGACCCCCAGAGAGGGATAAATGACTTTAGTTTTGTGTAAAAGCAATAGTTATTAAAGTAAGTAAAATTGCTACTATTTGGAGTTTTTAAAATTTAAATCTTTGGTATTCAGTTCTTGATTAAAGTGAATTTTAGCTTAACTGGCAGAATTAAATATGTTAATAAAAATGTGTTTCCCACTTTGGAAACAGTCAACATTTAAAGCTCCCAGACAGTGTTAAGCATAAAGAGGGCCCTTAATTAACAAATTGATTAAACAATTTATTTTAATAATCTTAAAAATAAAGACATAAGCTACTTGTAGCCTAAGTAATCCAGGACTAATGAAAATACTATAGGCTTAGTTAAAGTCTTATGGTTAGCAACCAGTCATTGAGCACTCTCTGGGCAGATCACCCTTTAGCATATTAGTATGCATATTTCTGCTGCTTTTTCTCATTGTTTCTTTATTTGAACCTTTAAACTGCAGGGATCTTTTCCTTTTTTTCCCCTCTGTTCCTAATGTTTTGGATGGTTTCTTTTACTTAGAAGTATTTTTATTTATACATCTAAAAACAAAACTTTATGTTGAATTCTTGTCCTTATATTCAAACTCAGTGACTAGTTTTAACATCTTGCTGATCTTTCAGTAGACAACTTGTGTGCAGACCCGCGTTGTCTCATGACCAGTCAGCATTAGCATTCAGGAATGATTCCAAAAATAAGAAATTATATCTGCATAGATAAAATGACAAAAACAGTATCTGAAATAGGTATTGCTAACTTTCAAACACTTCAGTATAGCAAATTTTAAAAAGATGTATCAACATTGCAAATAATTTCGTGTTTGGACATTAAGCTTTGCATTGACCAATTTCTTTGTCTATTCATTGATAAATGATTTCATGCACTGTAGTGGTGGCCAAATGAAAATCTAAGTTATTTTCATTATTTCAAATGGACTGAGAAATCATGATTTTACTTTAAAGAGATTATACAAAGTAAATGACTCATTAAGTTGATTTCCTTCTGGTTTAGATAAATTAATTCAGTACAATAACACTAATTATGTGAAGTATTTTAGAAGCTCTGATTAGCTATGCATAGTGTGATAGGTCTGGAGTATGGAGGGATAATAAAAGGGGCCTTTGGAGGAAAATAGTTGGGAGATTTCCCATTACCATTTTTTTAAGCACAACTGTAAGAGTAATGGTCAAAAGTCAAGGGTTACCATTTTGACTGTATTCAAGGTTGGTTGTTCTCCAGGTGCCCAAGCAACCCTGAGTCTAGGAAATGTCATTGAGATACCTCATAAAAAGGAAGTGTTTGTAGGTATGGTCAACAGAATAACAAACACACACACACACACACACACAAAAGAAAACCCTGCAAATATGTTCTTATTGGGCAAAAGAAACTTTGCATATTTGATTAAGAATTTTGGAATGGGATGAGTATCTTGAATTATGGGGAGAGGGAAGGGACGATTTAATCACAAAGATACTTGTAAGAGGGAGGCAGGAGGGACATAAGTCCACAAAAAGTGACTGCAGAAGTCAGGGGGTCACTAGCCAAGGAATACATGCAGCCTCTAGAAGCTAGAAAAGGCGAGAAAATAAATTCTTCCCTAGAGCCTCCAGAAGGAATAGTTTATAACTCCTTAGTTCCCATGTGCATTATTTAGTGTTAATTCATGTAGCTAGTATTTATTAAGCTGGAAAGCATGCATTGTATAACCCCCTGCCATTGTCACAGGGTGTCCTCACGGAAAACTAGGTAAACCTGAGATTGGAGAATTCTTTGAGGTTCTAGAATTTTCTGCCAGCCAGCTTGCCCACTTAGTCATCGAGACCTCTTAGGTGAATCAGAAGAATACACATTGTCCCATATGCAATCACCAACTGCCCAATAGAACTTTCTCTGAATTCCAGTTTGTGATACAAAAAGATTTAAATATTGAAAGGAAATTACCTAAGGCCTTTATTTTATTCTACAGTCTGTGCCCTTTACATAAACATGGTCTTTGCTTCTTCCTTCTGGATTTTCCAAGTATTAATGACAAGTAAATATAAATGCAAAGGAGTATGTGGAGGTTTCTCATAAGTAAACAATATGCAGCATTCTGATCTACACTTTTTTGTAATAACGTGCAATGTTAATTTGGAATCTAAGTATGCTCTTGCATTTGTTAAAATGATATTATTTGTGATTCTTTACAAGTTCTTGTTCATTCAGTATTTTTCAGTGACTACTGTGCCCTTTTTTTTTTAATAGTCACCGGGGTTAATAAGAACCCCAATAAAATAAAGGATACAATTACAGTACAGTTTGATGGGTACTGTCATAGGCATCTATGTGTGTAACACATGTCAAAGATCCTGACTGCTTGTTGTGGAGAGTGGGGACGGGAAAGATTTCACAGAGGAGGTACCTCTTGAGTTGAGACCAATTTCAGTCAGTTCCCCAGGCAGGAAAAACTAGATGGAAATGTGCGAAAATACAGAATAACTTGAAAAAGATTTCATGATTTAAAAGATCTGAAAAAAATTAAACACGGTAAACGAATTTTACTTCCTTTACCACCTTATCATCTTTCCCTCTATTTTGTGGTCAGATATGCTTTATTTTTTCTTGGCTTCTTCCCTTTTCTTTAATAACACTTCCCTATTTAAAATCCCAATTAATTTTCTACAGAGCAGGAACATCTGTTTCCTTTAACCCTGAGACTAAAATTTTATATCAGTGGCCAACAGATGCTAAGCATTAAGAGGAATGCTTAGGCAGGCTAAGCCGTGGTACACTAATGTCTAGAAGTTGAAACACTTTAAACCAGTCTGAGTACATCTCAAAGACTTTACCACCTAAGATTATTTGTTTAAATTTTAGGGTTTATAAACCCCAGGAACAAAGTTGTATGTATTATATATTTCATACTTGCAAATGATTTTCATTTTTTAAATGGTTTAACATACAAATGTATATGACACACCCCACTTCTTTAATAATAGCCATGTTTCTAAGTGCCTCAAAATCTTTTATTATGAAAAATTCAAACATACAAAGGTAGAAAGAAGAGCACAATGAAGCCTCATATACTCAGCATTTCAGCACCTACTCCTTCCACCACACACACACACTGGATTACTTAGAAACCAATCCCAGACAGCATATCATTTAAGCATGTTTCTTTAACAAGACATTCAGGGAAGGAAAAAATATACATTGCAAAATCATGAATTTAGGTACTCCATTAAGGAAGATGATAAAGCTCCTTTGCAAATTTATTTTCCAGCCACTTTACTACATAAATCCTTTGCTTAATACAATAAATCTGCACATTATTCCCCAAACATGCAAATTTTTGATCTGTGGAATGCTTTACATGCCTTGGTCTCTTCTGGAGCCTGCTCTCTGTTCTTTGCCCATCTGATTATGCTCTTGCAGGGCTTGATTCAGTTCCTGCTTTCTCCTTGAGGCTTTTCCTGACTTTCCTTTATGAAAACAGCACTTTTTTGTCAGTATGGCTCAGTAGTCACATATGCTACAGCGAATTGCTATTTAGTTTTGAAAATACATGTCCTATTAAAACTGCTGTATACCTCAGTTAAGATGTATAAAATAAGAGTATTCATAACATATATATGAGGATAAATAAGATAATCTAAAATAAGCACTCAGTGAATATCAATTGTTGTAAAGTCCTGGAGGAAAGGAATCATGCTATGTACTTTTTAAATCCCATATCTAGCCTTATACCCCAGAGTAGATATTAAATATATGTTTAGTTATGTTGGCTGGAAGGAAATATATTTCATGAGGTTATTATCAAATACTGTATTTATCAACATACTGATATGTATGTTCAATATACATGTTCAAAATACGACCTTTGGAAGGTAAGCATTGTGAGATATTTATTATTTTCTATCTAGAATTGATCCTGAGTTCATCCATTAACTCTGTTTAAGTTATAAAATGTGTATCACTTGTCTTCACCGATGCAAAATTAAAATCCAATTCAATTAAAACAAAGGCATATTTAAATTTACTCTATGAAAAAAATGATTTCCATAGAAAAATAACTTAAAATAACACAAAAGTTTTTTGTTTATCTTTTTCAGACCGTAATACTTAGAAAGTTTGAGAAATCCAAAAAAGTTGAGAAGTAGGTTAAAAACCTTGCAGAGATAATCACTGCATTATACTTTTGAATAAAGCTTTACATAGCTAAAGATATGATTGTGAAATCGTGCATGCTGCTTTTCCTACCACTTAGCATTGTATGTAATCATTTTTGTCCTTAAGGATATTGGTAAATAACATGTATCTTTTTTTAAATATTTTGAATAGTTTATAAATATTCTAAAAATGTATAAAAGGTTAGAAGTATTATGACAGTTTTTGACAGGGCTAGTTTCTTTTTTTAGAATTCTGGCCTTTCTTTTTCATGTGAACTTCAAAATCAATTATCTCTATTTCAAAAATAACTTGTTGATATTAAGTTCACTTTAAATTTACAGATTAATTTGACGATATTGCCTTCTAATATAAGAATCAGGTATAGCACTTCATTCTACTTCTGTGTTCTTCGTTATGTCTTAAGGTTTTGTCAGTTTTGTTCTTTGATGCCAATCTTTAGCATTTCATATTAAGCTTATTCTAGATATTTTGCTATTGTACATGAAATCTTATTTTTCTTATTATGTCTTTTAAATGGTTGATGATATAATCATGAAGGCTATTGATTTAAATATTTTAATTATGTACCCAGCCACCTTACTTGATTATTTTATGGTCTTGTAATTGTTTTTCACTGGATTCTTTTGGGCTTATTATATATACAGTAGCATTTGTGCACTTTTTATTTATTCAACCATCCCTTATTTGGTTCCTAATGTGTGTTAAATGCTAGAAATTGAGTCTGATCAGACAATGTCCACTCTTCAGGGACCATTCAGTATTATAATAAATGTATATCAGTTTGCTATGGGAACAGAAAGGAGTATTCTATATGAAATAGGAGAGGGGAAGCAGATGAGTTCAAGATTTCCTGGAAAAGATAATGCTTGAGCTGAGTTTTGAAGAGAGTAAGTCTACCTTTCTTTTACTATGACTGGAAACATGATTTCCTGTGTTATTTTTATTGAACAACTTTTAAACATTCAGCAGTAAATGATCAAGTGTTTTTCTTTCACCAAAAGCAAATAACATAGTATGAATCGGTGCATGATTGCTTAAATTTAAAGCATCCTTATCCTAAAAGGATTTCAGAATTGAAAGAAACTTTAGCCAACATTTAGTCCATCTCCCTACTCTCCACTCAGTTTTTCAGATGTGAAACAGAGACTTAGAGGCTAGTGAGTCCATTGAGATCATGTAGCCAGCTACTGGTAGAGCTTGGAGACTCTTTGTCCTACATGTTGTCTGGACCTCCAGAACATCTGTATTAATTACATATTGATTCAGCTTTGATGGGCTATTTTGGATTTGTGACTTTTTTGTAGTAGTGTTTTTAAAGTTGTTGAATTTAGAATTTTTGTTACATCTTCTCCATTCCTTAGCCCAAAGACTAAAGAAGAACGTACACTCTCAGAATACCTTATTATTTTGGTTTTAAGTGTTCTCAGACATGTTTTTCTGTTTGGCTTTTTGAAGAAAAAAATACGATTCTTTATATGGACTTGTCAGTCATATTTTGCCTATGCAGGTTTTCTTTTGATATTAATTTTCCTTTTTCTCTTTTTAGTCTGCCATTTTCAATTTTCAGAGTCTGTTGACTGTAATCTTGCTGCTTATATGTACCTGTGCTTATATCCGATCCATGGCACCCAGCCTCCTGGACAGAAATAAAACTGGGTATGTTACTAATGATGTCTAATCACCCAAATTAATTCTTATAGATATTGAATGTAAATTACTCTAAACGTCATTAAACAATTTAATTTCTATATGTAGCTTAGTTTTGTAATAACTTTTTACATTATTTTCTTACTCTGTTTTAAAAATCAAACTATATTCACAGAATCTTATTAAATAAAAAGATAAATATCAGAAGTGACCTGAAATTTGTTAGATTGAAAAATATGTATATTTAAAAGATGCAACATATTTTTTGCCGGGATTAAGAATATAGAATAATTAGTAAAATCGGTTATCACATTTTGAAAGTATTAAAGTTTGTAAGCATACTTTCTATAAAAATAATAATATAGATATTCTCTGGTCTAAGACTGCTCTAATCATATGAACCCCCAGTCTATATCATAAAGTAAACATCTTTGAAGAAATTTATTTACTTAAACATTCTTGGGCATGTCACATCCCTGTTAATTATTAGATTCATTATCCCACCCCCAAAAAAATTTGAGCTTAATATCATAACACACAGAATTAAATGTTAAAGTGTTATGTTCATAATACAGAAATACATGTTGAATTTAACCAAAAGGAGAGTATATTAAAAAAAGAGAACATGTGGTAAAAACTTTTCTTTGCCTTATGTATTTGTTAATTTTCTATGAATAATTGTCTTAATCCTTTCATGATAAGAATCTGTACCTCACTTAATGATTTTAAGAAATAAAAGGATGAAATAATAGAATATTTCACATAAGAATAATTATCTCCAGCACCTTTTTTTGTTTTTAACAGGAAGATAAGATAAGGGCCAAATTAGTATCCGAAAAGGTCAAACACTTCTCTTCCGCTAATAAAAACTTCTACAAAAGGCCAAGTGGTAGATATTCAACCATGAGAGTAATAATTTCTGCTCTCTTTCTTTCAATCCTATTCTATCTTTGGAGTCCTAATTAACATCAATTCAAACATCCCATTCTCTAAATTATTTGTGTGTGTTTTTTAACCCTTTTTATTTACTAGAGTTGTTTAGACATTTGTAAAGAAATAAATAGAGCGCTAACCAGTTTTGAATATTGAAAATCGTTAGTCCTGTTTTAATAAACTGATAATCTGTCTCTGTTTGCCTGAGGGATTTTATTTAATTTACTAAAGTTGAAAACAGATGCTATTTGTCCATCAGTTTTTATGACAATGCCCCACTTCCTTTGTAGACATTGTCTTTTTGTCATTCCTTTTTTTCTAAACTATTGCACTTCGTCTGCGGCACTCAATTTAATACTTTGTCCATTTGTTGAAATTGCTTAATTGTATTTGTTTCTTACTTGCATGTGAAGTCTTTTTACCCAACCAGTTTTATTTCCTCCTTTCCTTTCTCTGTAACCCCAACTATTACTTATAGTTAAAGCATATGGTAGAAACCAGTAAACATTCTCATTGATCCATTGTTTGGATTTCTAATATAATACTAACTTCTATCTGTTATACTTTTAAGTGTTTGTTTCATTAAAGAATAATCACATAATAGTAGAATAGAATATGTTGATGCTATTATGAAGAAAGTAGATTGCATGTGGAAATATGTCTGTTCCTCATTCCTTTGGGAGCAGGAATACCTCCATAACATGCTACATAAAAGGAGTTCTCAGGGCTGCCAACCTTACAGTAGAGGTTGAGTAGTAGTATATTTCTCCTACATAGAAGACCGAAGAAATAACATGCGTATTTTTACACTTTAAAGTTTATGTTGA